GCTCAGGCTGGAGTTTGAAGGGGGGAAGGAAGGAAGTCACTGGGTTTGGAATCATGCATGGAATATCAAAAGAGGCGTGGAAGAGAAAGCACTGCAACTAGTTTTCACAAAGTGGTTACTTACAGGTAGTAAGTGTAGGAGTGATAGGATCTTCTGCCGAGTGGGGTGGAAGGGCAAAAGCAGTGGTGGAAGGGGTGGAGGGGGAATGAAAATGGAAGGAAAGAAAAAGTAAAAATATTAATGTCTGAAAATATAGAAAAATGAACAAAACCTGATATGGTGACACATGTGACGAGTTCTGTTCTGCGTGTCTGCTTTATGAGGCGGAGCTGTGGGCGGTGCCTATGGTGTGGGCGTGGCAGTCACTATTAATATCATTAACATCTCATTAAGGGCGTCCTCAGACGTCATAGTTCATTCAGTGCGGAAGAAAATAAGGCTGTGAGGAATTTATACAAGGAATAACTCACATTCTTAAGCTTATTTATTTATAAAACCAACTCCTCCAGAGAGGAATTACCATATTTCCAGCGTTCGCTGTGATGAATGATTCAAAAAGCCGAGTTTAGCAATGCCAGGGTTTGGTTTGGTCTTAGCATCCATCATTAAAAGCACATTACGGCGGCGGCGGGGGCTCAGGCTGGAGTTTGAAGGGAGGAAGGAAGGAAGTCACTGGGTTTGGAATCATGCATGGAATATCAAGAGAAGTGTGGAAGAGAAAGCACTGCAACTAGTTTTCACAAAGTGGTTACTTACAGGTAGTAAGTGTAGGAGTGATAGGATCTTCTGCCGAGTGGGGTGGAAGGGCAAAAGCAGTGGTGGAAGGGGTGGAGGGGGAATGAAAATGGAAGGAAAGAAAAAGTAAAAATATTAATGTCTGAAAATATAGAAAAATGAACAAAATCTGATATGGTGACACATGTGACGAGTTCTGTTCTGCGTGTCTGCTTTATGAGGCGGAGCTGTGGGCGGTGCCTATGGTGTGGGCGTGGCACTCACTATTAATATCATTAACATCTCATTAAGGGCGTCCTCAGACGTCATAGTTCATTCAGCGTGGAAGAAAATAAGGCTGTGAGGAATTTATACAAGGAATAACTCACATTCTTAAGCTTATTTATTTATAAAACCAACATTTCAGCCATACGCCTATCTTAAGATATAATTAATTATTATTAATACCTTGAAAAAGTCTGATAGCAGAAATTTTGGATTCATACATGTATACAATTTTTGCACCGCAACATTCAGCTGTGTGTTTATATATTTTTTTAACTGTTCATAAAAACAATAATTTATTTAAAAAACAATAATGCATGCAGATAAGAATGGCTTTCCAAACGATTTACACAAACGTATTCTGCTGGTGTTGAATGCAACATTTACATATACATTTTCTTAAATTAACAACCCATTTAATTCTTAAGTACATAAATTAAATAATCAAGTTACATGTTGTGATTATCTTGTGCTTTATTAATTTTGGTCTATGTACAAATGCATTTACAATGTGTTTAATTTTTCTTTTATCTCAATTATTGCTTAGTATGTCATAATTTGACATTTTATCTCATATTTTTAACTTTTCATGTCATAGTTTTGCCATTTTTCTCACAATTAAGACTTTATGTCATAATTATGTCTAAGTACACAATAATTACAAATTTTTTTTTTTAAATGTCATAATTTTTATCTCATAATTAACGTTTTATCTCATAATCATGAATACTTAATTTCTGAAGTTTTGGTTTACTGAAAACATTTACGTAAGAATTTACTAATTTTCTTAATGTTCATCTTGTGCTTTCTTAATTTTTCTAGAAAGACGTTTTCAGTGTTTCGTCAAATGTCGATCGTAGACCTCATTCATGAAACGCAAGCAGAAGCAATTCTGTGCAAACCTTTCTCACAAACAAAAAGCTTGCATTTAATCGAACGCAATCATTTATGCAAGAACAATTTACACTAATTCATTCAGCTTGTGTTTCATTAACGAGACAGCACTTCAATCTCTCACAGCTTCATTTTCATTTGTCTAGTACAGGGTGAAGAGAGAGAGAGGACAGGACAGAGAGCGGTTAGAAACAGGCTGATTAGCTCTCGTTAGAGGCAGAGGTAGTGAGTTTGGGTTCAGGTTTATAATTCTGCGACAAACACAAGCTGCGAAAGCAATTCTAGCGCTCTAAGTTTATTAGTTGTCTCTCTTAATAGTGAACTCAGTCCTGACTCGTTTTATCTCATAATCATGAATACTTCATTTCTGAAGTTTTGGTTTACTGAATACATTTACGTAAGAATTTACTAATTTTCTTAATGTTCATCTTGTGCTTTCTTAATTTTTCTAGAAAGACGTTTTCAGTGTTTCGTCAAATGTCGATCGTAGACCTCATTCATGAAACGCAAGCAGAAGCAATTCTGTGCAAACCTTTCTCACAAACAAAAAGCTTGCATTTAATCGAACGCAATCATTTATGCAAGAACAATTTACACTAATTCATTCAGCTTGTGTTTCATTAATGAGACAGCACTTCAATCTCTCACAGCTTCATTTTCATTTGTCTAGTACAGGGTGAAGAGAGAGAGAGGACAGGACAGAGAGCGGTTAGAAACAGGCTGATTAGCTCTCGTTAGAGGCAGAGGTAGTGAGTTTGGGTTCAGGTTTATAATTCTGCGACAAACACAAGCTGCGAAAGCAATTCTAGCGCTCTAAGTTTATTAGTTGTCTCTCTTAATAGTGAACTCAGTCCTGACTCAATTACTGATGTCGGTGGATATGGATCCCATCAAATTACGCTGAGATTTAACATGCAATGCCAATGTCATTATGCTAAAAACGGCCCGGGCGACGCATACAAACGATCTGACGGAAATTGCCTTGTCAGCAAAATGAAGGCATCCCTCTCCAAATGTTTGGCCATTTTGAGACTCAACAGCAAAATCAATAGAGACAAATACCCTTATTCTGAGAAGGTAATGACTCTCATTAAAAACATATTTACTTGGCCCTGCCTTTAATCTACATCTGAAACCACTGAAAGCACGCTCTGAATCTAAAGCAGAACGAGAGTGGGGCTGTTTGCACGAGGGTTTTTACTCCAGCTCAGGACGGATCTAATGTAAACTCGCCCGGGGCAACGCGCCCGGAGCGTCTCTTTGAAAAAAAAAAACGCCTTTCATCAATTTTTCTCTCTTATCTTGCTTTTCTTTCACTCGTTTCTTTTTTTTCTGCACAAGATAAGCTTGGAAAATATTTGTGCTATTTCCCGTCGCCGGGTCATTAAAGCGCTGCCGTTTGTTTGAGAGTGGCGCGGGGAGAAAAAAATTAATATTTCATCAGGCAGCATGTATTGGTGCCACAAACCGTGTAATGGTGCTTATCAGAGCGATCAAATCCATTATTCTGTGTTCAGTTGACAAAAGGGGCCGTTTGAAAAGCGAACAGAAACTCAGCAGAGATTCATTTGACTTTGGTGTGTTCATGAGCACACTGGATGGCACCATGACACGGGAAGACTTCTGTACGGTACAGGAGCAATACAACAGCTCTCTGAAGCTGAAGTGAGTCATTTTCTCCTACGCTCAAACACTTTCTCGTACATTAATGTTCTCAGTCACTGTAAGTGAATCAGACTCAAAATATTCTCAACCAATGACGTGAGTTTGGGGGCGGGGCTATCAGTTTGGTTGAATTTTTATCTCTTAATTATGTTGTTTTTACGTCACAATTATGACTTTTTATCTCATAATTGTTGACTGTCATCATACTTTTTTATCTCAATTATTGCTTAGGTTGTCAATTTTGACTTTTTATCATTTTTATCATATCATTTTTAAATTCATATCATAACCTTTTGTCTCATAATTTTGACTTTTTATCTCATTTGTCACAATTTACTTTTTGTTTCATAATTTATACTTTTGTCACAATTACTTTTTTTTACACTTTTATTTCATAATTTAATTTTTTTATCATAATTTCAACTTTTTATCTCAATTACTGCTTAGTATGTCAATTTTGACGTTTTTTATCCCATTTACGATTTTCATGACAATTTTGACTTTTTATCTCATTTGTCACAATTATGACTTATTTCATAATTTATACTTTGTCACAATTATTACTTTATCTTATACATTTTTACTTTGTCATAATTCAGTTGTTGCTTAGTATGTATTATTTTTTACTTTTCATGTAATAATTTTGACTTTGCATCTCATAATAATGACTGTCACAATTATGACATTTTATCTCATAATTGATACTTTTATGTTACAATTATGACTTTTATCTTAGAAATTTTAGTTTTTGGCATAATTTAAATGATTGTGTAGTGTGTCATATTTTTGACTTTTCATGTCAAAATTTCGACTTTGTATCTCATAATTACGTCTCTTTACCGCATAGTTACTTATTATCTCATAATTATGTCTTAGTATTCAATACTTTTTTAAAATCTCATAATTTTTTATATTATAATTCTGATTACCAAAGCATGATCTGTCCCACATTTAAATACTTTGTCGTAATGTTCAGTCTTTATTAGCGAGTCACTGGACCATTGAATCAACACTGTGACGCATTCTCAGCCAGTCACATGAGTTTGGGGGCGGGGCTATCTGACTGACAGATGTATCTCATAATTGATACTTTTATGTTACAATTATGACTTTTATCTTAGAAATTTTAGTTTTTGGCATAATTTAAATGATTGTGTAGTGTGTCATATTTTTGACTTTTCATGTCAAAATTTCGACTTTGTATCTCATAATTACGTCTTTTTACCGCATAGTTACTTATTATCTCATAATTATGTCTTAGTATTCAATACTTTTTTAAAATCTCATAATTTAGATTTTTCATGTCATAACTTTTTAATATTATAATTCTGATTACCAAAGCATGATCTTTCCCAAATTTAAATACTTTGTCGTAATGTTCAGTCTTTATTAGCGAGTCACTGGACCTTTGAATCAACACTGTGACGCATTCTCAGCCAGTCACATGAGTTTGGGGGCGGGGCTATCTGACTGACAGATAGTGGGAGCGCAGTGGTGCTTAAATGACACACTTCAGCTTTCAAGAAATTAAACACAATTTCATGGTAATCAGCACATTCATGTTAATCAGATCAGATGAAGTATTGTTGAACAGAAGTGAAGCTCTCTTACCGTTTCTTCATGACCAGCACCACGCCGAGGAAGATGATGACGAAGAGCAGGATGCCAGCGATGACGCCGGCGATCTTCACCGTGTGATCCGTCTGTTTCTCGGGTTCCACGGCATCAGGCTTCCGGGTCGCGGCACCTGGAACAAGAAGTCCAGACAATCATGGCTGAAATGAGAGTCACTGTGATCTTATGATGTAAATGCAACACATGGTACAGGTACACTGTAAATATTGACACTAGCAGAAATTGAGTGAAATAAGATTTATATGATTGTGTGCTTTTTGTTAATAAAACAGGTTAGTATTAGCAGACAGTTAGTCAAGTTAGTTGATCGGTTGATTATACTGGCTTTGCTTGTAGAAAAGAAGAAAACACGACAAATATCTCTATAAAACCTCAACTGTTTCTCTTAGACATCAATGAGAGTAAACGGAGACTCCTGTATTCTCATGTGTCTCCTCTTGAGTTTCAGAAGCGATCTCAACAATGTCTCAAACTGTGCTCAGATCAGACAAAACACTAAAGTCTGCAATCAGATCTCAATACGAATTCAAGCATTTCTCACCACATACAACAAATATCTAATGATCTCTGCTTTTTCCTCATAAGCAATTTTAAGAAAAACATTTGAGACTAAGTTGATACTTCAATGAAACATACATGAGAACTAAAAGTCATAAAGAGCAACATCTGTTATCTAAATGGACTGAGCGAGCGTACGAGAGTTCAGAGAGAAACAGCGCGTTTGCCTGTTTACTGTATAATGTGATGCACCGCGGATCAGTTCCTCCTGCCAGCTACACTTCTTCAATCAAGGCCTGACAACATCCATCAGCCGGGCCTATGGGCTGCTGTTACCATGGTGACGGATGAGCAGGTTCCCGTGTTTGGGTTCGAGTTTCTGTTCTGCCGCAGGTGATTCCCAACAAACAACAACAAAAGAACTGCTTCCCAGCAGATACTCACAAAACTACAGAAGCCCATTTCTGCCACATAAGAAAAAAATTAATGGTTTGGTAAATCATAATTATGAGATAAAAAGTCAAAATTATGACATACTATCATGACATAAAGATTATGACAATTCTGACTTTTTTCATAATTACTTTTAATGCCATAATTTCTGTTTTTGTCATAATTTCAACTTCTCATTATGTTTTTTTATGCCATAATTATGACTTTCTAGTAATTTCGACTTGTCATAATTAACTTTTTATGCCATAATTTCAACTTTTTATCTCATAATTATGACTTTTTATGTCACAGTTGACTTCTCTCATAATTAACTTTTTTATGCCATAATTTAAACTTTTTATCTCATAATTATGACTATCTTGATGACTTTTTAGCTTATAATTTCGATACATCAATATAGATTTGTTATCTCATAATTATGATTTTTAATGCCATTACTGACTTTTTATATCATAATTCCCTTAATTACACATAATTATTGCTCAGAATGTCATAATTTTGACTTTATATCTCATATTTTCAACTTTTCATGCCGTAATTTAAACTATTTCTCGCGTAATTATGACTTTTTGTCAATTTCAACTTCTCATCTCATATTATGATCTCATAATGACTTTTTAGCTCATAATTTTGACTTATTTAGTTTCTCTCATAATTTCTACTTTTATGTCATAATTACAACTTTTTAATCTCAATTATTGCTTAGCATGTCATAGTTTTGACTTTATATCTCATATTATCAACTTTTTAAGTCATAATTGTTACTTTTAATCCCAGAAGTAAGTTTTTATCTCATAATCATGATTTAATTGTCATGTCATAATTTTGACTCTTCTGCCTCATAATTCTGATTTACCAATGCATGATCTTTCTCTCATGTGGCGGAAATAAGCTTCCATACAAAACCACTGTATGCAAACAATATCGACTTTATTATAAATGTTGTCGCCTTATTCTGCAAATCATGAAAACGTTCTGGACCGAAAATGAAAACAGAAATTGAGTATGTTTATTAGCATAAGTGCAGAAAAAGTGTTATTGTCATGACGCTCATTTGCATTCTGGAGTCTGAGTTTCTTCAGACTGGATGGAGGCGAGAGAGAGTGTTTAAAGACGGGCCGCAGGCTGCAGCGAGGGGTCGAGGAGGACGACGATCGGCATAAACAGCCTCGCTTCAGATGACCAGAGGAGAAACCATCACAGTCTCGCTCACAAACAAACATGCAAACACTTAGAGGAACAGAATCCGTGATCATGCATAATGATTCAGTAACGGACCGAAGAGGCCAGTGATCTGAAGATGTGTTTACATAAGGTTTAATTAAAAAACGACAATTTTCTCTTTACTGTTAATCTGTGGTAAACATCCACAATGAAACGATTGATGGGTCAAATCCTGCATTTCACAGCCGCAGATGAGAGCCGTCACCTGGGACTGTTCAACAAACACTAAATATTGAAATGTAATGTTCTGACGGGATGTGGTGGTCATGCATTACAAACGCCGCAGGCTTGGGTTTGGGGTTTGCCGGGGTCATATTGATTCCTTCGACTGACATCGGTGCTGAATAAAAAGCAGCTAATTTAGTGACTCCTGCTCCAGCGTTTATTTTCCACAGTAAATGCGTGTATTCAGCGTACAGATTCAGCTAATGGAAAGTGACCTTCTACGGGAAGCAAACAGCAGGGATCAAATGAAGCTCATCAGACGGACGGTAACCCTGAAAATCCTCAATTACCTTTTCAACCTGCATCCATTCAGGACTAAAACGAATCAACAAACGCTGCTTTACACAACAGTCACGGGTTACACTCATACACATGGCAGAAATACTGAAATATAGCATATAGCACTACATAAAAAACATTAAAAAGTTACACAGACATGAAAACATAAAAAACATGGAAATACAGCTCACATTTAACCCTAAAAATTTTAATAAAACATTTGAAAATTCTATTTAGCATAAGAACGAATAGCGATTTAAATGATTTTTTTATTGTGACATTACTTTCAAGAAAAATAAAACATTTATACCAATGCATCCAGATATTTCACTTTTGAGTTTTTATTTATTATATTACATAACATTACATTTATTTATTGTCAATTTCTTCTCAATGATTCTCATTGCTACAAAACCTTGATTTTCTTTTTTATATATATATATATTTAAATCAGCATACATGTTGTGCAGCATAACAAATACTACCATGATATATAAATCAATTGAAAAACTATATATTATTTTCATATTATTGTAATGACAATTTTTAGAAAATGCTACATTTTTATGCAAACATAATGTTAAAAACAAAACAGTTCACATTACAGTCATGAAAACTTGAGGAAACTTGAGGAAAATGCTAAATCTGTAAAATGCAAAATGCAAAATGTAATAAAATTATAAATATTGAAAATAAAAAATATAATTTTTATTTTAATAATATATAATATTATATTATATAATAATAAATATAATAATATGATTTCTTCTTATTTATTTTTTCCCTTTTAATTTAGGAGTGAAATACGATCTGGACATGAACACACACACACACAGTGAGCAGAAACAGGCCTGGTTTAACACACACAGAGCGAGGTGGATGGTGGAAGGTCTGACCTGTTAGTTGGCTGTCGCCGGCAGCGGGTGCGATACGCACATACGGCGTGGTGAGCTGAGTCACAATAATGGCAGCTAGAACAAGAGAAGAGATCCAGCCCAACATGCACAGAGAGAGAGAGAGAGAGAGAGAGAGACACGCCGAGGCATCGTTACACCTGTAGGGTTATTAATGCAGAGTAGAGAGACAGACTCTCGTGAGCCGCCTACACAGACAGCACTTCACTTCACAACTTTTTAAAAATATCTTTATTATATCTTAGTATGTCATAATCTTGACCCTTTTCTCATATTTATGATTTTTGTCTCATAATTATGACTTTTTATCTCATAATTTGGCGTTTTCTCAATTATGACTTTTTATCTCATAATTATGACCCTTTTCTCATATGTATGACTTTTTATCTCATAATTATGACTTAGTATGCCATAATTTTAACTTTTCCCCTCATAATTACGTATTTTTTCTCTCATAATTTGGCTTTTTCTCAATTATGACTGTATCTCATCATTTTAATTTTTTTTCTTGTAATTGTGACTATCTCATAATTTGTCTTTTTGTCAATTGTGACTTATCTTATAATTATATCTTAATATGTCATAGTTTTGACTTTTTCACATAATTATGACCCTTTATCTCATAATTTGGCTTTTTCTCAATTATGACTTCTTATCTCATAATTATGACTTAGTAAGTAATTTTAACTTTTCCCCTCATAATTATGACTTTTTATCTCATAATTTGGCTTTTTGTCAATTATGACTTTTTATCTCATAATTATGACTTAGTATATCATAATTTTAACTTTTCCCCTCATAATTATGACTTTTTATCTCATAATTATGACTTAGTATGTCATAATTTTAACTTTTCCCCTCATAATTATGACTTTTTATCTCATAATTTGTCTTTTTCTCAATTGTGACTTATCTCATAATTATATCTTAATATGTCATAATTTTGACTGTTTCACATAATTATGACCCTTTATCTCATAATTTGGCTTTTTCTGAATTGTGACTTTTTATCTTATAATTATTACTTTATCTCAGTATGTCATAATTTAGATTTTTGTCTTATAATTATGACATATCAATTAGTTGCCAAGGCAACATCTCTACTTTTTTATCTAATATATTTTATTTCAGCTTTATTTCAAATAACAAAATGGTTTTAATAGTTTTAGTTAACCTCTTATGTATTCTTTGCGGAAAAGTCAATGGCGGCTCACGAAGGCTTTAGAAAAGAGCTTGAGAAAGCCAGAAAGATTTTATTCACATGCTCAGTAATAACAGCTGGACATTGAAGGTCATTGAATTATTGCATGTACATTTTTTAAATGCATGTGGAAAACACAAAAAAATCTACCCTTCATGTGTGTTTATGAGACATTGATGGTCTACATCTGTATGTGTTATGATTGACAGGTATAGAGCGCAACTGCTGCGAAAGTTCATGCAAAACCAATTTTAGTCAATGCATTTTCAACTTGGACAAACAATAGAGGATTTTCTGCATCAGATGGGTTTCATGTTCACGATTATCTTGAAAACTAAAGCCACAAACTCTCATTTGCATCGAGCAGGCTTGACACCATTAGAGATGTGGCACGTAGACAGGAAAATAGATTATGTACCATCTGTGCTCAATTAAATCACAAACAGCGGCGAAAAAAGGCCCGAGCATCGCTAACTGCCGCCCGAAGTCTCGTAACGGTCCACCAGAGGTCAGAAAACACAAAAACACCACCGCCGTACGCGAAGCCATCGAGTTTCCGTCGGAGTGATTCTCCATCTGTCGCGACGTGAGATGACTCCCCTCAGAGTCGACAAACTCTGCATACAAACGCTCCCTTCTGCATTTTAACGTCACATTTTCTGATTGCTTTACATTAAGAATAGTAATGATTTTTTGCATTGCGTTTTCATGACAGTTAAACACATTTTGCCTTATAGTACATTAATGTAATTCTGTTTTACTTTCAAACTTTTTTGCTATGGTTCTTCTTAGTTTTTTAAAGATATAACTGAAATAACATTTAAATTATTAAAATAAATAATACCACGATATATATTTTTTATCTTGCATTAAGACAATTATGCCTATTTTTAAAAACATTAAGAAGAGTAATGATTTTTTGCATTGTGTGAAGATATTACAAAAGTGTTATTAAAACTAATATTATCATGATACAAAAAGTCAAATGTTATTTTCACATTACAGTAAAAGAAAATGTTAAATCTTTATGCAAAATATAATTTATAATAAACATTTAAATAATACATTTATAATATATATATATTTTTTCTTTGCATTGAGAAAATTAAGCTTATTTTAAGAACATTAAGAATAGTAATGTTAGTAATAGTAATGTTTATATATAGTTTGCATTGTGTTTTCATGGCAATTAAACACATTTTACCTTATATTACATTATTGTAATTTAGTTTTACTTTTGAAGTGTTTCGCAATGAATAACATAATATATAAGTAATATATTAATAAATATATAAGTAGTTTGGGGAGATAAACAGTTTTTTTGTTGTGGATTTCTTTTGCAGAATCATGGTTAATTTAGTTTTAGTCACCAGTTGTTAAATGCAATTATCTAAAAATTCCATCGATTAACAACCAGAGTAGGTCTGTCTTTGTGAGTCACCATTAAAAATCAATTCACATCTGGAGAAAACATCTGACTTCCAGACTGCTGTGCTCTATATCTGTTCATCATGATTTGATCAGATGTGCCTGAAGTACTGTTTGTCCTGGTGACTGTTTGTCATAATGCATTGTGTTTCATATAGTATATAGATTTGTTAGTGATCAGCGTGCAGTGAGCGTCAGCTCGTTCTTCACTGGGAACACAGCCGAGCCGCAGTCATTTCTGCAGACGAGCTTTAGGGAACATGTTTCAATCAGTGCACTCGATTACTCTCACACAGACCCACCTTTAGTGGCCACGCGAACACAATCGATCTTAGTTTCCTGCGAGAGACAGAGAGAGAGAGACAGAGAGAGGGAGAGAGAGAGAGAGAGAGAGAGAGAGATAAAAGGGAAAGCATTAGTTTTGTGTCACGTGAGATGCAAACACATGAGCTTCAGTAATAGAAACATCCGCTCTCTTCTGATGAACCCATAAACACAACAAACTCTGAAACATGAGGGGAAAAGCTGCAGATTGCAGAGCTAAATTAATGAATGCTTTCACAGTCTCATTTCCTCAAAACCATCACTTAATTTCACCTGTGATCTTGACAACAATACATTTTTTATGATATTACTTTCTGTATTTCTTGAAAATGTAAAAAAGTACAAGTTACAAAGCAGCTTTACAGAAAATTATATCAAAATAGTTTCATCATCTTGTTCTATTTGCCGTGTTTCCCTGTAAAAAATGCATAAAATTCCTTAAAACGAGATCAATTTATTTTAAAACCAGAATTTCACAAGAAAATAAGACTTGTTTTTCAGATAACATTTCTTTAGTTAAAGTTAATTTCTTGTCCCTTGGTGAAATAGCATTTCTGTGAGAATTAAGGTTATGTTACCTGATAACTAATACTTTAATAAATCAATAAAAATTGAAGAAAAAAAAAGGAAGTGCATATATTCATG